CGTGGTGGTGCATGCTTGTAATTCCAGCACTCGGGAGGCTGAAGCAGGAAGGAGGAGGGTTGCTGGGAGTTTGATGCCAACTGGAGCTACATAGTGAGTTCAAGGGCAGCCTGAGCTGTATTGTGAAACCCTGTCTCAAAAACAAAGCATGGGGGCTGGGGGTTTAGCTCAGGGGTGTATGTGTCTGCAAACAAAGCATGTTGAACATGCATCAACTCCCCTGATATGTTTGTTTATTATGTGTTACACATATGTACTAATAAAGAAAAAACCAGCCAGGAATGGTGGTACCCTCCTGTAATGCTAGCACTTGAAAGACTGAGGCAGGAAAATCACCATAAGTTTGAGGCTAACCTAAGCTACATAGCAAGACATTGACTTAAAAATCTGAAATGAAAGAGAGAGAAAAAGAAGTTATTTGTTTTATTTAGATGATATAGTTACTATAGAATATATAAAACTGTGAATCCTTGAGGTGGTTTTGTTTTGTTTTGAGACAGAGTTTTACCCTAATCTAGGCTGGCCTTGGAACTCACTGTTACCTAGCCAGGCCTTAAAATCATGGTGATCCTGCTACCTCAGCCTCCCAAGTGCTGGTATTACAGGTGTGTGCTACCATACCAGGCATAAATATTTATTAAAACTTTACTTTGTTTTCTCAAATAATACCAAAGATGAATCTGTGATGGTAAATAAAATAGCCAAATGTTTGAATTTGTTTGTAGCTGTCAAATTTAATTTGAAAGTAGAGTAAAACTGATGACATCTTTAAAATATAGGATGAATATTTTAAGAAATGTTCAGTGTCACTGGCCATTAGAGAAATGCAAATTAAAACAATTTGACCTAGCTCTCCCCTCTCTAAGTATCTCCCTGAAAGAGTTAAAGTCAGCATAATACAGTGATACATGCATACTCATGTTTATACAGTGGAAACACTATTTACAATAGCTAAATCTTGGAAGTAACCCATATATCTAGCAACAAATGAATAGATAAAGAAAATGTAATTATACACAATGGAGTACTAATGTGCTATAAGAAATAAATTTAAGCATTTATAGGAAAATGACTTGAAAACATAAATTTTTCATCCAGGGTCCATGGCATGAAGACCTAGGAGGGCCTATAAAAGGCCCAAGACTCCAAACTCCCCTGTCTACTCTTAGGACTAGGTCTACCTTGGGTAAAAAAGGAAATAAATCCCCAGGGTTTAAGGACATCACAGACATTTGGAAAAGTGGGAGGAAGTTCTGAAGCTGTAGGGCTTGGGCTTTCTACTCTGTCCTGCTCAGGGGGCAGTGGAGACAGAAATAGGGGTTTATAAGCTACAGTCAACTTGACACAGAGTGGTCTCTAGTTTGGTAACCCACTGGAGGTGGCAGATGCAGAAAAAGAGTGTGGCCCAAGGCTGCCCACGGAGGAGCTATGTGAGGGATCAAACTCTCCCAGCTAGCAGGTCCCTAGGTAAGTCTTAACGGCTTTGCCTTTGGCCTTTTGGCCGCACTGAAACCAGCCTAATGTTGGGAGGAGGATACCATGACACCTGTCTTGGTTATTTTTGTTGTTGTTGCTGAGACGAAATACTTGATGCCCAAAGTGAAGAAGGAAATGTTTATTTAGCTTACAGTTTTTGGAGGTTTTAGTTTATACTCAGCTGGTTCTAAGGCAAGGTGGCATAGCTAAGGGGCAGCCATTTATGGCCGTTGCTGGTGACAAGAGCAGAAAAGGGAAAAAGCACGCCTCCTTCTCTCCCTTATATTTGTATGCTGGCTACCTACCCCTGGGAAGGTGCAGCGCTCACACTGCAAATCCTAGCATTAGACAACAAACCAATCACAAATACCAGACTCAGCTGCCTTTAAAAGGCCTCCCCCCATGACTGCATGAGTCTTTGGGGGAATATTTAAACACAAACCATAACAACACCCATTGAGACAGTTCTGGCTTAGGCCTCAGGGAATGTACCTTCTGGCACCATCCACTTCCTGGAAGGCCTGCATTTAGCCTGGAGCCCAGATAGGAAGGTTAATGTTGTGAAAGGAAGCAGGCACAGGGTGAAAGGGGTAAGGGCAGTTCTCATAGCTGGGTCAATACCCCAGGTACGTTGGGTTCAGAAGCAGGCCACACAGTATGGGCTGAGTTTCTGGGAGAGGTGAAAAGGAGTTGAGCATCTCAGGACCCTCCTGCAACACAGCAGTTCCTTTGTTTTCACTTCCTTTTCGAGGACTGTGGGTTTGCAATATGGGCGTCTATTGCTCACCTCTGGCTTTTGTTCCCTGCTAGACACTAGATGGGACCTTTGTGAAGTGTCAGAAGATAGCAATGGGACCACTGAAGGGAATGAGTAATGGGTAGTACCAAAGCATAAAGACAGTGGGACCCTAAGGTGAACCTTCTGTCTTGGCCCAAGTGCCCCCATTTTCTAGGTAGTAGTAGTGGTGCTCTCTAATCTCCCACAGTTGAGAAGGATGGGGGAGTGAAATGGGCATCCAAGGAGGAGAGTTTTCAAAGAAGAAACTGAGAGTGGTGAACAGGAACCCTCTGAAGGATTGGAGCTGAGGTGATCCTACTACCATCATGGCTAAGATTCACATCACAGTACTACCACCAGAGGTCTTGGCAAGTCTGGCAGCACATGAAAGAAGAAAGATCTTGGATAGGATATAGGGACTGCTTAGATCTAACTATTGGTCAAAGCACCTGGGGCCTGCAGTCTAGCTAAGGCCAAAGCTGGATCTGTCACTGGAGCCTAATCTTAAGGAATGGGATGGCCTGGAATGTGGGTACCTGGAGATGAGGGCTCTGTCGATGAAAGGGGGATTCCAGAAGTAACTGAGCCACCACCTAGCCTCCACCTAGCACTGCAGCACTCTTTGGTCTCAAGAAGAGTAAAAGGATGAAGGAGGCAATAAAAGCTAGAACCTGTGTCTTCCCTCAACTCAAATGGAGTTGCTTCTCACCAAATAGAGTATCAATGCTAAGCCAGACTCCCAGTTAAAGAAGTCTCAGCCCCTGGGCTACCTCTATTTCATCACCAAACCCAGGCCCTTTGTTAAAAGGGTCTCCTGAGGGCACAAAGAAGGCACTGGAGCCAGACATTCTCTACTTAGCACTGGCCATGAGGCCTCTTTTAAAAAAGAGTATTGGGCCCAGATGGCACAGTAGAGCAAGGCCCATGGTGTGTCTATGCCATAGCTGGTGGCCCAACCATTGTATTCCTGCAGATAGCTCAGGTTGAGCTCCCACACACTGTGTGACTTGTTAAATCATGTGAAGCCCCTGGAACATGTAAGGCAGACCTAATGCTCTGGGAGTATGAGGTGTACTTTAGGACATTTTGGGAGATGGAATGGTGCAGATTCTTCATAGATAAACTTCCATGCTTACCACCACCCACAGGTACCTCAAGGTGTGCACTGCAGTTTCTCGGGTGGCAGCAGGCAGTCAATGAAGTCCTTGGTCAGATTGGACACACTAGGCCAGGGCTCTCTCAAGTCACTGTACTCATCTATGAAGATCTACTGGTACAGCTGGGTGCATTTGTCATCCTCAAAGAGCACAATGCTACTGAGCAAAAGATGTGGCCAGTGACGCCTAGTACCCACATGTCCACAGAATCAGTATAAGGCTGGTGGACCAGGACCTCAACAGCAATGTACTGAGGTGTGCCACAGGTTGTCTTCATCAGGCAGTCTTCACCCTACTTGCAAACACTAGCCAGGCCAAACTCAGTGATGATGATCTTGGAGTCAGTGTCCTGCATGGTAGTAGAGCAGATTCTCAGGTTTGAGGTCGTGATATCTGATGCCTAGTGCATGCAGATATTGAACACTGTCCAGCACTATATGTAGTGCTGGTGTGGTAGTCACTAATGAAACTCTTAGCAATGACACAGTCAGAGAGCTTGCCACTTGTGCCTAGATCTGTCACCATATATACCCACTCCTGTGCTTCAAACACTTCCACCAGCTAGATGATGTTGGTGTGGCACACCCAGAGCAACATGTATAGTTCAGACTTGAACACCTCCCACCCCTCTCAATATATGGTCTCAATCTCATCCTGATGGCATGTGGCTGAAAGGGTGCCTGGTGTTCCACATGTATACTACTTGCCTAAAGCTGTCTCCACCAATCAAGGCCTTGGTGTCATACTTAGCTGTCATACATGGGTGGAACTTGGCCCTCTACTTACACACCCTGGCCATGCATGGTGGTTCTGAATAAGGCTTTGTATATCTGGTAGATGGGACATTGTAGCCAAGTGGTACCTATTGAGTGGCAGCTGGAAACTCGGACTTGACATGCCTCTGTGATGAAATGCTTGTGTGTATCACTTAGTTCCACTGAAGAGTCCCACTTTCTTGACAAGATTCATCTGCTCAGGAAAGACTGCTTGTCCCACGGCCCACTCTGGATGCAGGATATGTTCTGCAGGTAGTGCCTCATTTATGCCTTATATGGAGGATGGGCTGTTTGGCATCTCTGTGCTTCTGCAGACATCTCCTAGCCATGGCCACAGCTGCCACTGTTGGTGCTGCTATTGTTCACCATCAATATTGTGGCAGAAACAATTATGTTAAATGGACTAGATAAGGCATGGATTCAATACCTTCTTGCTGGCTTGAACCACTAGCCCCATTAGGCTGGAGAGTCATTCATGTACCACTAGTGGTTCAAAGCTGCCTAGCAGCGAGACATATAAATTACATCATGCGTGTGTTAAATACTATATGATTTCTCTAATATGAAAAACTCAAAGTATAAATAAAGAGCAAAATGAAAGAGAAAATGGGCAGATTGATCTTTTTAAAATGAGACCATTAGATGGAGAGAGGGAGGAGGAGAAGAAAATATAAAAAGAATTAAGAGATATTGCCATGCATATGTACCAGATACCCACAATGAAAGTGCGTAGTCATTGTGCATTACAAATGCATACTAATGAATAATTGCAAATTGAATATATTAACTGCATATTTACTTTGTCTTTTTAAGATGGTGTTATCTGAAAAGGTTAGTCAGCTGATGGAGTGGACCAACAAAAGACCTGTAATAAGAATGAATGGAGACAAGTTCCGGCGCCTTGTTAAAGCCCCGCCAAGAAATTACTCCGTTATTGTCATGTTCACTGCTCTCCAACTTCATAGACAGTGTGTTGTTTGCAAGTAAGAACTTTTGACTACACATCAAAATTAACTCATAGGATTTTTTTTTTTGTCTTTTTCCTTTTCATTGGTACCAGGGATCAAACTCACGACTGCCTGCTTCCAAGGCAGGTGCTTAGGCCGCTGAGTTAAATCCCCAGCCCCAACTCATAGGATTTTTAATCTTTTCTTAATCCCAGAAGAGCCAATTTAGTTCAGTAGGTATACAAATCATAAATGTGTATACCTTACTTAGAATATTTGTTACAATAACACATACTACTATTTCTCTTTTATGATTAATTCTTGGTACTCTTATGTTTGTGGGGTAGCATAAATAAGGGAGTGTCACCATCATATGAATAATTTATGAATAAACCATTTTATAAACTTGTATCAAATTCTATAACTATACCAATACCATTGATGTAGTGTTTTGATATTTATGAATATTTTTAGCCTCATACTCTTATCACAATAACCTCAGAAAGTTGGCAAAAGAAATACTGTTCAATTATTTATTTGTTGGGGGAGGTACCAGGAATCGATCTGAGGACCTCATGCTTGCCAGGCAGGAGCTGCACTGCGAGCCATATCCCTGGCTCTGTACTCTTTCATTGTTGAAAGGTACAGGCTCCCAAATTTTAGTAGTCTATCTGAAACTTTAGATGTTTATTTGTGCCATAATGATGACTTCATCTGGGAATATGTGAGAGCAAGGGGCTCTTAAAGAACAAAGAAGCTTGTGATCTCACGTGGAATATAGTACAGTCAAACTCAAAAGGAGCACAAAGTAGACAGGTGGTTACTAGAAGATTGGAGGTAGAAATGGAACACAGGACAGGGAGACAGGGTCTGATTAAATTGCCCAGTCTAGGCTAGAACTTGGGATCCTCCTACGATTTCAGGGACACCATGTTCTACTTCCCTTTTCTTTTTTAAAATTGAGAGAGGGTCTCATTGAATTGCCTACGTGGTACTCAAATTTACACCCTTCTGCCTCAGCTTCCCTCGGTACTGGGGTTATAGGCATGTGCAACTGCAAATAAACATATTTCAAAACATCACAATATTCTATAAATGTATGTACAGTATAGTTATTTGTCAATTAAAAAATTACTTTTTAAAAGACAAAGATGTATGATTTAGAGATGTGTTTTTATTGTCTATGTTTTATAGTGTTTGTTAACCTTGGAGATACAGACTAATCTCACTAAAATTTGATCAAACATTGATTTATCAATTTGATTTTGCTGTTCTGAATGATCTCCAGAACAGATTGTTATTCCTTTAAACAGAAACATCATATGGCCGGGGATTTAGCTCAGTGGCAAAATACCTACTGGCAAACACAAGACCCTAAGTTTGATTCCTGATACCAAAAAATAAACAGCATTGATAATTAAATATAGTAGATATTAAATGTTAAGTAGCTTTTGCTTTTTAGTATCTTTCTGTATATATCTATATTTTTGGTTTTTTTGAGACAGGGTCTCACTGTAGCCCAGGCTGGCCTCAAACTCACTATGTAGCCCAGGGTAGCCTCAAACTCATGGCAGTCCTGCCTCAGCTTGCTAAGTGTTGGATTTACAGGCATGCACACCACACCTGGGTAATACATACATACATACATAAATATTTATTTATTTATTTATTAAAGACAAGATCTTACTGTGTTGCCCAGGCTATTGTTGAACTCCTGGGCTCAAATGATCTTCCTTCCTTAGCTTCGCAAGTAGCTAGGATGTGCCACTGCATAAGAGCCTTGTTAGTTTTTTTTTCTTTTTCTTTTTCTTTTTTTTTTTTTGTACCGGAGATCAAACTCACAACCTCATGCTTGTCTGGCAAGTGCCTATACCACTGAGCCAAATCACTGGCCCTTTGTTAGCTTTTCTTAGTAAATACTCTACCTGCTAAACTTATGACCTTGTGCTTGCCAGGCAGGCACTGTGCTCCTGAGCAATATCCCTAGCCATTAATAAATATTCTTAACAGGGGTGAGACAAGGTCAAGATATTTGTCTCCACAGTGCTTATTCTTATGGATATATGCTGAGTATGAATTAAAAAGTAAATAAAAGCCCTCGTGGCACGTGCCTATAATTCTAGTACTGTAGGATACTAAGGCAGGAAGATTGTGGGTTTAAGTCTGGACTGGGCAATTAATCTACTTAGACCCTGTCTCAAAGTATAAAATAACAAAGAGCTAGGGATATAGCTGAGTGCAAAGGCTCTGAATTCAATCCTCAGTATCACAAAAAAGTAATTTAAGGTATTAAAAATCATTATGAACTGTGTGAGTGTAGCTCAGTGCTATATAGCACTTGCCTAATATGCATGAGGCCCTGGGTTAGAGCTGCAGCAAAGGTGGGGCATAGAGGTATAGAGGGGGTTGCAGTTGTATGGGAAGGTAGTCCTGGATGCAAAGACAGAAGAATCACTAGAGTCTGGCATTTCAAGGCCTGCATATTAAAAAACAAAACAGGAGCTGGGAGTGGTGGCGCATGCCTGTAATCACAGCACTTTGGAGGCTGAGGTAAGAGGATCATTGCAAATTCAAGACCAGCCTGGGCTACAAAGTGAGTCCAAGACCAGTCTGAATTGCTTAGCAAGATCCTGTCTCAAAAAAAAACCTCACAAAATCAATTAACTCGATTTCTCTAATGACCACCGAAAGAGCTTTGGTATAAGAAACAGGCATAAAGGGCCAGGGTTTTAGCTCAGCAGAGTATGTGCCTGTTTGGCCAACGTGAGGTTGTGAGTTGATCCCTAGCACCAAAAAAAAAAAAAAAAAAAAACCAAAGTAAAACAAAACAAAGAAACAGGCACAAATTCTGAAATAGAATCACCCAATTACTAATTTTGGTGAACTCTCCAATACTTGAGGTAAGACTTTTTATGCCAGAACAAAGTTTGGTCCTAACTTTGTCACCAGAGCGTGACTTACTCCTGAATGATTTTTAATATTTCTCCTACAAAAAATTGTTATTGCTTAGTTGGACTTTGTATAGCTGCTGATACACCATGTTGATTTTAGAAACTGTTTTATATGTTATCTTCAAAATCTGATTGTGTCCAGGCAAGCCGATGAAGAATTTCAAATCCTGGCAAACTCTTGGCGATATTCCAGTGCATTTACCAACAGGATATTCTTTGCTATGGTAGATTTCGATGAAGGCTCTGATGTATTTCAGATGGTAAGATCTTTGGTTTATTCTCTTATGTAGGAAGACATAAAATATGAATGAAGTACAATACATGTTTTTCAGTGGATACAAGAAATTTAATAGGACTGTTCCTGTATAAGATCTAGAGTAATGAACTAAAAGCTAAACTTGAGTTTAATTCCCAGTGTCAAAAAGCAAACAAACCCTGAAACTCTGTACCCACTAAATAGCTTCCATTTCTTCCACCCCAAGCCTTATAACCTCCTACCTTCCTGTCTCTGTGACTATAACTACTCTGTGTACTTTATATAAGTGGAATCATTTAGTATTTGTCTTTTTTGTGACTATCATTTCACTTAGCATCATGTCCTCAAAGTTGATGTTATATTATAGCATGTGTCAGAACTTTCTTTTGTGTTACTAAGGATTGTACCCAAGACATTGCATCCCCTATTCTCCAGCCTCTCCTTTCTTCCTTCCTTCCTCCTTTCTTTTTTGGCTTAGGACTTTCTTTGCTCAAGGCCAAATACTGTTATATTGTATGAATATGCTGTATTTTGTTTATACGTTCACCTGTTGATGGATACTTTGGCTACTTCTACTGTTTGGCTATTGTGAATAATGCTGTTATGAACATGGGTACATAACTCTGTTTTCAGTTCTTTTGTGTAATACCTAGGAGTGGAATGGCTAAATTGTATGATAATTCTGTTTTTAAGTTTTGAAGAACTGCCATAGCAGTTCCACCATTTTATATTCCCATTAACAATGCACATGTGTTCCATTTTCTCCCTTTCCTCACCAACACTTCTTTTAATACATGTGTAGATACAGATATTTAGTTATATAAACAAAAAATAATTCTAATGGGTGATAGTGATATCTCACAGTGGTTTGTTGTTTTGGAGGTTTATTTGTTTTGGTACCAGGGATCAAATTCATGACCTTGCGCTTGCAAGGCAGGCACTTATGCCACTGAGATAAATTCCTGGCCCCTTTGTTTGGTTTTTTGAGACAGGATCTTTTTTTTTTTTTCTTTTTCATTTTTATCGGTACCAGGGATTGAACTCACGACTGCCTGCTTGCAAGGCAGGTGCTTATGCCGCTGAGCTAAATCCCCAGCCCCTTGAGACAAGATCTTGCTATGGAGTTCGAGCTGTCCTTGAACATTTTATATATATATTCATAATATATAAACAACTTCTACAACTCCACAACAGAATACAACTTGGTTTTAAAATGGGTAAAGCAATCAGGTATGATGGTACACACCATAATTCCAGCTGTTTAGGAGGCTGAGACAGGAGGATTGAGAGTTGGTAGCTGGCCTCAGCAACTTAGAGAGAACCTAATGTCAACATAGAAAAATAAAAAGGGACAGGGATGTAGCTCAGTAGTAGAGAGTTTGCCTAGTAGTTATGAAGTTCTGTGATCAATCCACAGGACTACACACACAAAAAAAAACCCAAAAATAAAAAAAGGAAATTGAATAGACAGTTCTACAAAAAAGATATACAAGTAGTCAATAAGGAAATGAAAAGATGTTCAACATTACTAATCATCATGAAAATAAAAATCAAAACCACTATGAAATCTCAGCACTTGGGAGACTGAGGCAGGATAATTGTTGCAAGTTTGAGACCAGCCTGTGCAACAATGTGAGCTCAAAGCCAGCCTGAACTGCACAGTGAAGCCCTGTCTCAAAAAAATAAGACAAGGCCAGATATTTAGCTCAGCAGAATAAACACCTGCCTGGCAAGAACAAGGTCATTGAGTTTGATCCCTGGCACCAAAAATAAAGGACAAATAAACAACATCATGATTACATTCATTACAGGGAGTTGGTATCTGTACATAATATATCTTAATTCTTTTTATTTCCCCTTTCTCCTTCACCTCCCTCCATTCATTTCTTAGCTTTTCACTCTATTGTGTTTTGTCTACAAGATATTTTTTTAAAAAGTGATGTTATTTTTTTAAGAAAAGTTAAAAAAACAGAATTTGAAAAAAATAGTAGGGAGTTAACACTAGTTACTATATTGCCTATTGTTATCTTACAAGTAATTGTTCAGGTTACAAGATTTAGGCTTGCAAAAAGTGATCAAACAACTGCACAACCTGTTCTTTTGAATGAACTAATAGGTTAGTAGTATAGTTATCTATGTTGTATACACATACATATGTACATATATAGTATACTTGCATACATGTCTTTTGCCAAGATGTGATATTTTTATACAGTGAAATATTACTCAGCTCTAAAGAAGGACAATTTTGAGGCTTTTATAGGTAAATGGAGGCAACTTGAGACCATTCTTATAAGCAAAATAAATCAAACTCACATTTGTAAATATCATATTGTCTGCCTAGTGTAAAAAACTGAGAGTAATAAGATCCAAAATGTATAATAGGTATTGTGATAATGAAAGGGAAAGAGAGTGCTCAAAAGGAAGAAGGGATAGATGTTTATTAGCTGGGCACCGTGGCACATGCCTGGAATTCTATCACTTTAGAGCCTAAGGACAGAGGATCACAAGTTTGAGCCCTTCTTGGGCAACTCAGCAAGATCCTGTCTTCAAAATGAAAATGTCTGGAGATGCAGCTCAGCAGTACAGGGCCCCTGTGTTCAATCCCCAGTAACAAAAAAAAATTTTGTTAATAACCAGAGAAATAAAATATTACAGTAATGATAACATATATCTTTAATCCATCAAACCAATTTTTGGCAAGGATATGGGAAGTGGATACTTTCCTACCTTGAGTAGCATTATAAATTCAATATAATCACTTTGGAGGGCAATTTGATTATACATACCTATTTTAAAGTATTTCTGTCCCGTGATCTATCCTTCAATTTTTAGAAGGGCATTTTCACATATGTACAGGAAGATATGTACAAAAATGTTGATTTTAACTTTTTTTGTGATACTGAGGATGAAATCTTGGTCTCATACATACTGCTTAGCAAGTGTTCTATCATTGAACTTTGCCTGCTTCCCATATTAGTTTTAATTAGAAAGAAAATGAAAACCCTAAAAGTCTTAACAGTAACTCAATTCTTAACAACTGTGAGAATAAATGTATGTATGTATGTACTCTCAAGCATATAAATTCAACATGATTGAATTTTTAAAGGCATATTGCAAAATAATAGTGTCATATATATTAAAAAACAGATATAAATTAATACTATATTTTTTGCTGGTACATATTAATATATATAACTAGACTCACTCATGACCTTGTGCTTGCCACTGAGCTAAATCCCCAGCCCTAGACTCAGATCTGTAAATTGGAAGTTGTTGCTCTAATACACTGGAAATGGTTCTTGATGTTGTTTTTGTTTTTGTGGGTTGGTTTTTTTTTTTTTTTTTTTTTGGTGCTGGGGATTGAACTCACAACCTCATGCTTACCAGACAAGATTGAGCAACTGATCTAAATCCCTGGCTTTGTTTTTATTTTTATTTTTGTTTGTTTGTTGATACCAAGGATAGAACTCACAACCTTGTGCTTGCCAGGCAGGCACTATGCCACTAAGCTATATCCCCAACTATTAGAGTTGGTTCTTGTTTTGTTTGTTTGCTTGCTTGCTTGTTTGTTGTGAAATAAAGACTTGCTGTGTAGTTCAGGCTGGCCTTGAACTCACTATGTAACCTAGGCTGGCCTCAAACTTGTGGCAATCCTCCTGCCTCAGCCTCCCAAGTGCTGAAATTACAAGTGTGTTATGCCACACCTAGCTGGAATTGGTTCTTTAACCCTGTAATTTCTTTTAATTTCCTAGGGAAATCTATTTATATGTTACTTAGCTTTGGTTTTTTTTTTGGCACAAAGGTAGAACTAAACAAATGCTGAATAAAAAGACTTTGGCTTAAAATGTGCTCAATATCATCAGTTGTGGTGCATACCTGTAATCCCAGCCCTCAGAAGGCTGAGGCAAAAGGATTGCCGTGAGTTTGAGGCCAGCCTGGGCTACATAAGTAAGACTCCATCTCAAAAAATAAAAAAATGAGGGCCAAGGATTTAGCGCAGTGTTATAATCGCTTACCTGGCAAGTGCAAGGTCATAAGTTCAATCCTCAGTACTAAAAAGTAAAAATAAAAAATCTGGGCAGTATTTGGTGGAATAAACACTGTCCATGGTCTGGTTCTTTCCTTTTTAGACACAGAAATTGAACTTTTGACAGCATAGTCAGAATTAATCTGCTTTTGGATGCTTTGTGCACATTAACAAAACCCTAAAAATCCATAGACATTAGTAACCAAAGGGTTTATTTATTTATTCACTAATTCATCATTTTATACAGTCATAGGCCAGAGTAATAATAATATACAATAGTCAGTATATAGGGTATGATTAAAATAAAGTGACTATTTAAATATTTTTAATTTATTACAATGAAAAACACATTGCCATTATTTTCCTTCAGAATACTCCCCCATCACTTTGAAGACACTTACCTCATCATTCTTGCAATTCTTTTGCTTTGGTTCTACACACATAACAATACCCTTCTAACAGCAATTTTTTATACTTTTCCATAAGGCAAGAGGAATTTTGTCTTTATAAGCTGTGGTCAAATATATAGTGAATGTTCCTGCCAGGTACCATCCAATACAGATAGTTGTGTAAAAACATTATGGAACCAATCTGTCCCTTTCCAACTTATTCACCAGATATGGCACTATTCTACTTCTGGCTCTTCTCCAAAGTCAAAATGGCCATGGAAAGTAAAACTTTTGAATCCATATAGGATATTCAGGCAGCCAGGATAGCACAACTAAAGATACTCATAAAAGATGACTGTAAGTGGCAAGAATGATGAGAATTGGATTATTTTTTTAAACTTTCATTTTAAAGAGAAACAGTGAAAACGAATTTCAAAACAGGGTAGCAGGACAATTACAGTACTTGATACATTGCATATTGTAGTAATTCAGAGTGCAGGACATTGGCATGATATCTTGTCTAAACAATATAAGCACAAAACATTCTTTTCAAGGAACAAACAGAAGCTAGCTGTATAATTACCTTGACTATCTTACGTATGCATGTATTTTTTTCTTTTACCCATTCTTCCTTTCCCCTATTACAGTTTGCCTTTTCTTTTGAACAGTTTCTTCACAATTCACAGTATCTAGTGTATATTTTTTATTTTAAATAGAAAAATGAAAGAACAGAAAAATCAAGATGCAAACCTGCAAAACAACAAAAACTATAACTATATAGGTTTTCAAAACAAGATGTTAGGAACTAGCAATGGTTGTTATACTGCGTATTGTTATCTTCAAAATAGTTTCTCAGGTTACCAGATATAAAAATAAAACAAGACAAAAGGAAATCCTCCATGGTTGCCACAATGTACACTGCCATCCTCCAAATAGATGCCCAGACCACCAGCCCAAGGTTTCCCAGCATACATACCGACTAGCCAAGGGAAGCTGTGCTTTGTCTTCTTGCTGAGTCTCTTTCCCACCCCATGCTGGAATCCCCAGCCCCAGAACGGCGACTTTCGAGAACTAGATTTTTTTTTTTTTAAAGGGGATTGAATTCATGACCTTGCACTTGCCAGGCAGACACTTATGCCACTGAGCTAAATCCCCAGTCCAAACTAAATTATTTTTAAGGGTTTTGCTTTGTTTTGTTTCGTTAAGGTAAGATCTCATTGTGTAGTTCAAGCTGGCCTTTAACTTGTAGCCATCTTCCTGCCTCAGCCTCCAGAGTACAGTGATTACAGGCATGCATCACTGTGCCCAGCAAGATTTTCTTTTTTTAAAAAAATTATTTTGAATGGGGCTGGGGATTTAGCTCAGCGGCATAAGCGCCTCCCTTGCAAGCAGGCAGTCGTGAGTTCGATCCCTGGTACCGATAAAAACGAAAAAGACCAAAAAAATTATTTTGAAGTTATGATTGTTTCCCATAATTCATTCTCCATTATAGGATTACCTGTTGAGAGAATTGGTCAGAAACTTTCTGTAGGACGTAGACTCTGTTTTGCACAAGTAATACTTAAACCATGTATGAAAGATAAAATGAAGATGAGAGGTTTATGGTTTCTTTGCTTTAGCAATTCCAGTGTTGTCTTTTCAAACATATCATGATCTCATGATGAGAAAAGAGAGACATAATGCTCATCAATAAACATTTTTGAAACCCATTAGAATGAACTGTTTCTTCTGGTAATGATAATACACACCTGTAATGACAGATACTTAACAGGCAGGGGATCATAAATTAAAAACCAGCCTAAACAACTTAGGAAGACTGTCTCCATTTAAAAAAAAAGACTACTTAACTTTTTCTGTATACAGCTTTTTGTATTGTTTTTTACTGCCATTTTCTTTGGTTGTTTTTGTTTTTGAGATGAAATCTTGCTACAAAATTCAGACTAGTCTTGAATTCACTTGTAAGCCAGGCTGGCCTCAGCCTCTCAAGTGCTACCTTTCCAGGCATGTGCCACCATACCTGGCTAAGATTTTCAATCATTATCCTGATCTTTTGTTCTCCATATTTAAGAATGTACATACAATGAAAGTGTGTTCAAAGTGAGGAACACTATTGGAATAATGGCAATATCTTTTATTATAATAAATTTATTTTTTGTGTATAGAAAGGTACTTGCTAAGTAGTTCAGACTATTTTTCTCTTTTTCCTTTTAAATAAAATTTAAAAAAAAAGAATGCTGGATTTAGAGGTGTGTATGACCACACCCAATTTGTAACAAATAGTTTTAATTTAAATATTCAAACCATATTTTGTGATCACACTTTGTACCTTAGCTGGACACAGTAAGTAGCCTACGCTTGTAATAACTGCAACTGGGGGGACTAAACAAAAGCTATGGATACAGTTTGGTGGTAGAGCACCCCTGAATTTATTTTCCCTACCACACACACACAGAAAGTATTGTACTCTATTTGGAGGTTGCATTAGCCACATAAGATAGTTTTAGTGCTCATGGATATATTCATTTGTGCATAATCACTGAACAGATTAAAATATCTATGGTATGTGAAATTCTCATTCTAGTGGAGTACAATATAGATTTCTTAGCTAGAAATTTATATTTCCTGAGTAAAGAATAATAGTTAAGGTCACAGTCAGACTTGTGTTTGAATCCTGGCTCCACCTGCAAATCACTTATCTAAATCTGAGCTTCCTCATTTTTGTAAAATGCCTCACCTTCGTAAAATTACTTACCATTAACATTGTTTTCTTGATAATTTTTAATTTCATGGGCTGCTATTCATTCAGCTAAACATGAATTCTGCTCCAACCTTCATCAACTTTCCTGCAAAAGGGAAACCCAAACGAGGTGACACATATGAGTTGCAGGTGCGAGGTTTTTCAGCTGAGCAGATTGCCCGGTGGATTGCAGACAGAACTGATGTTAATGTAAGTTTCCCAACATTACAGAAAATTAGTTTGCTGCTTGAAATTTACTGGGAGGTAATAATTGGTCTTGGCCCCATATCATTGAGGTAGTAATAGTCTGGCAGTTCTTTCATAAATAATATTTAACAGAATCATCTGATAAAAGAGTGAAGTTGTCTACGGCCATACCACCCTGAACGCGCCCGATCTCTTCTGATCTCGGAAGCTAAGCAGGGTCGGGCCTGGTTAGTACTTGGATGGGAGACCACCTGGGAATACCGGGTGCTGTAGGCTAAAAAAAAAGAGTGAAGTTATAAAATTTCTGCTGTTACCCTCTTAAATTCAGCCTAGAAATCATTCTTTTGACCTTCTTAAGACTGTGGGCTATCTAGTTGTACCTAGCAATCCTTTGTAGTCTAAAAGATGTTATAGTGTGATTAAACAAAATATTTATGCCAGTTCCACCCCATTTTAGAATACAAGAGCCACTGTTTTAATTGGAATAAAATGAAAAAAGCATAGTTTTTTCCAAGAATAACCACATTTTCTTTATTATTTACTTAGTAAATAAATGTTATGCTTTAAAATGTTAGGCGTGGTAGTACATACATAGGTACTGTACTCAGGAGGCTGACACAGGAAGATCACTCTGAGTTCAAGGGCTGCCTGGGCTACACAGTGAGCTCAAGACAAGTCTGAACTGCATAGTGAGACCCTGTTTCTAAATAAATAAATAAAATATTTTTCTCTCTTCTCCATTAGATTAGGGTAATTAGACCTCCAAATTATGCTGGTCCTCTTATGTTGGGATTGCTTTTGGCTGTCATTGGTGGACTTGTGTATCTTCGAAGAAGCAACATGGAATTTCTCTTTAATAAAACAGGATGGGCTTTTGCAGCTTTGGTGAGTGGATTTTATTTTATTTTTTTGTCTTTTTGAAACAGAGTCTCATTATATAGTTCAAGCTGGCACTAAGCTCACTTTGTAGCCCAGGCTGAACTCACAACAGTCCTTCTGCCTCAGCTTCCCAGTGCTGGGATTACAGGTGTGAGCCACCTCACCAGTTTGGTGAGTAGATTTTAAAACAAAAAAATTTTAGAACTTGTATCCTTGCTTAATTTAAAAATTGTCTTTGCTACTGTTGCAAATAGTACCTATCCTATATTTTAGCATGCACATGAAACTACCAACAGAAAACTACATCTTTAGTGTCTGAACATAAATTTAAACCTCTGATATGTTAGTCTACATACCAATTATAGAAAAGAAGTTATTTGACTAAAAATTCTTAATATATTTAGATAAGCTTCTGTTTTTTGGACATTAGAAGACTTTTTTTTATTTATTAGTACATATTTGCACTACATAGCATTTACATTCCTTAGCTGAGCATGGTGGCATATGTGTATAATCCCAGCACTCAGAAGGCTAAGGCAGGAGGATCCTTGCAAGTTGAAGGCCAGCCTGCACTGCATAGTGGAAATCTTGTCTCAAAAAGACAAAAAAATCAGTTTGTTTTCTCCATTATCTCAGTAGGGTAGCCCAAGCTTCAAATAACTGATTATATCTGCTTTTTATGCAATTGAAATGATAGACTAGGGGCTGGGGATTTAGCTCAGCGGCATAAGCACCTGCCTTGTAAGCAGGCGGTCGTAAGTTCGATCCCTGGTACCAATAAAAATGAAAAAGACAAAAAAAAAAAAAAAAGAAATGATAGACTGTCATATCTATAAAAATCTTCAATTCTTTTAAAAAGTCTTCAGTATGTCAGGTGTGATATACAGGTATAACCCAGTGCTCTTGGAGGCTGAGGCAGAAGGATTGTAAGTTTGAGTCCTGGGCAACTTGGTGACTTAGTGAGACTGTCTCAAAAAAAATTAAACTGGGGGCTGGGGATTTAGCTCAGTGGCATTAGCACTTGCCTTGCAAGCATACGGTTGTGAGTTCGATCCCCGATACCAATAAAAAAAAACAAAACAAAACTGTAATCCTAGTACTCAGGAGGCTGAGGCAAGAGAATTGCTGGAGTTCAAGGCTAGGTGGGGCTACAAAGTGAGCTCAAGGCAAGCCTCACCTTCATACTGAGACCTTGTCTCAAAAATACACAGAAAAATTAAAAAGAGCTAGGGGTGTTACAATGCAAACGCTCTGGGTTTTAACCTCCAGTACCACAAACAAACAGTAAATGAATAAATAAATAAACAATGGGACAAAAGTCTTTAGTATCTTTAGTATTCAGTTTTGAAACATCAGCTTCATTATAATTTTAAAGTAGTATTTTCCTTTTAAAGCATTATTAAAATGTGATTGTTGCATGAAATATAAACCTTAGTAAATAAATTATGTAGCTAGAAAATTTTTCACTAATTATCTGAACAGATCTAATATTTTATATACCTACTAATGTAATCAAAGTAGGACTAGAGAGCATGGTGGGGATGATGGCATTTGCCTGTAATCCCAGTACTCAGGAGGCTTGCTGTGAGTTTGAGACCAGCCTAGGCTACCTGAACAGCATGGCATCACCCTGTCTAAACCAAAACAAACAAACAAACAAAAAAACTAAAGTAGGACCAGACTTGGTCATGAGTCTTTTTTTTTTTCCTTTTCTTTTTGTTTTTGGCCATGAGTATTTCATTATTTTTTGTTTCCTAGTGTTTCGTGCTTGCCATGACATCTGGTCAAATGTGGAACCATATAAGAGGACCACCATATGCTCATAAGAATCCTCACACAGGACATGTGGTAAGAAAACTCCAGGATTTGTTCTTTTATACCAAAATTAATTTAATGGTTATTATTACTGTGTGAGACCAGTACCAGCATATGAAGGAACTAGAAGTAGTTTTTGACTTTTCAGTTTCTCTGTATTATCAAGCTTCAGGTATTGAAAAGATCATGAAGTACTCTTAAAAGTAGAAAGTTTCTTATCCCATTTGGTGAGTCATTTTGAGTAAGCTGGCTCAGAATGAAAGCCTTCAAGTAAATAGAAAAAATAGTCAAATACTTGAGTATCTAAATGTTCATAGGCACCTGCTGGGTTTTATCAGTTATGTTGATAAAAACATAGTCTCTATTGTACAAGCATGGTCTTGTACAAATACTAGTTTTTCATGTGTTCTGTTGCTGAGACTGTAAGTACAATATAAAAATACAGAAATCTTTACAGTAATCAAATGTATTTGCTGATAAATGCCACTGACTCAAAGTATGTTATAAGCTTACATGCATCAAGTGACTTAATAATTTCATAGGGTTTTAAGTAGCTCATTTTAGGGTTAGTATACCAGAACTTAATTTATAATTAATGAATCAACTTTTTTCTCCCACTGCAGAATTATATCCATGGAAGCAGTCAAGCCCAGTTTGTAGCTGAAACACACATTGTTCTTCTGTTTAGTATCCTTTTTACAATAATTATCGGTTGCTGCACTTTAATTTGCCTATTTTCTCACAATGTAGTATTACAGACTGGTTGGAATTGCTCTCCTAATATAGGTCATAATATCCTTCAGAAATCATATTACCCTGTCATACATTTTAGATCAGTTAGCTAGAGACCGCAAGGACAAATCTGCAGCCTAATAAAGTAGGGTTTATTAGCCTGTTGATACAAGAGAGTGTGCCCTGATAGACTTCCTCTGATAGAGGAAGTCTGGTATGTCCTTTTACCAAAGAAAGGTAAGAGTTTTTTATAAGAATTTGAAGTAAGGGTAGGGTTTAGGTAACATTTAAATGAAGTATGGTTTTGAAAAACAAAGCAAGAGGCTGGGGTTAGTTCACTAGTAGTGCTCTTTCCTAATATATATGTACTGTCCTGAATTCTGGCCCCAGCCTGCAGAAAAAAAGAAGGAAAAAGAAAGAACAAAGATGGGGAGAAGAGGCTGAGCATAAAGTGTTTAATACTAGGTTTTGAGGTTTTGAAGTAGATCCAAGGTTCTATTTCTTTGAAACCTACAAATTTAAATGAATGTGAGATTTTTGTCTTTAAACTCTTTGTTTGAAATGCTGCATCTTGGTTATAAATTAAAACTACTGAGAAGTTATGTTTTCTTTTTTCATTAATATATGTTTGCAATACATAATAATTACATTCATCTTGGGGAACTGGTACATATACATATTGGATCTTTTTTTCCTTCTACTTGTAACCTGAATAACTTATCCTCTACATAAGTGTGGGGTGTTTCATACTTACTGATAAGATTTTAAACAGTATTCTCTGTTGAGTCAAAAAGCAGTAGTTCGTCAGAGACACAGTGATATTTGATATTTTTAAGCTACACCATGCCTACAGAGTAATGTTTCCTGTGAACATTGCAGCTGCTTTACATATGTTTTATTGTTATATCTTCTTGAATAGCAAGGTAGGTTTTTATTATCATAGCCCAAGCCATTTTTATTTTCTGACATCTAAAAAATGGATTCCTCTATAAGCTAGAAGAATAGATAAGAATTACAGAGCCAAGAATATAGTGCAGCAGCATAAACATCTGCTTGACAATTGTGGGGGCCTGTTATTTTCTGTGCAGTTAAAGTTTTCTGTCACAGAAATTCAGTATTTGCCTATGCCTATGTTTTCAAGAGTTTTTTCTAGTTCATCGTCCTGCAGAGTCAGTGTTCCTGTTTTCATATTTAGAGCTTTGATCAGTTTTGATTTTAGTTTACTATCCAGTGAGAGATACTGATCTAGATTCAGTCTTCTGCATGTGGACAGCAAGTTTTCCTAGCACCATTTGTTAAAGAGGCTATCTTTTCTCCAGAGTAAGTTTTTTGAGGGGGAGGGAGCGTTGGGAATCAAACTCAGGACCTTGCACTTGCCAGGCAGGTGCTGTGCCATTGAGCTATAACTCTGGGAAGTGTAAGTTTTTGACCCGTAAGTCAAAGATCAAGAAGCTAAATGTGATTGTAGTTGTTTTTTCTTTCTTTATTTTCTTCCATTGATCTGCATGTTTTTTTTTAACCAATACCATACTATTTTTATCACTACAACTTTGTAATATAACTTGAAGTCTGAAATTGTGATTTCTCCTACCTTACTATTTTTTTGAGATTTTGTTAAATCTGTATATCAGTTTTGTAAATATGACCATTTTGACTGAATTGGATCTGCTTAACAAGGAACCAGGATTTCTTTCCATTTTTTTGTTGTCATCTTTGATCTTCTTTATCAGAGTACTGTTGTAGTCATTGTAGAGATCTTTCACTTCTTTATTATTGGTGCATAAGAAAGCTGTTAACTTTTCATTGTGCTACCAAGATTGATTATTAATTCTGGGAGTCTTTTGGTGGAATTTTTGTGGTCTTCTATGCAGAGAATCATATCATCTACAAATAATAATTTGACTTCTTCCTTTCCTATAGATCTCTCTTTTTTTTGAGACAGAGTCTAACTATACAGTTCAGGTTGGCCTTGAATTTGCAGTGATCTTGTACTTTAGCCTCCCAGGTGCTATGATTATAAGCATGTACCACTATGCCTGCCATAAATCCATTTTATTTCTTTCTTTTGCTTGTTTACTCTGGCTAATGTTTCTAGAATCTATGTTGAAGAACAACTGGATAGTAGTGGTGACAAATTTTCTTTAATTTTAGAGGAAAAGTATTCAGTTTCCCCCTGTTTAACATGATGTTGGTCATTGATTTGTCACCTGATTAAAATAAGGCCTTTCTATACATACCTATATTGGTTTTGTTTGTTTGTTTGTTTGTTTGTTTTGAGACAGGGTTCTATCTAATTCAGGCTGGTCTTGAACTCATGGTTACCCTCCTGCCTCATCCTGCTGAGTGCTAAGATTTCAAGCATGTGTCACCATGTCCCACTGGTGGTTTTTTTCTTTCAGTACCAGCAATCGAACTCAGGACCTTGCACTTGCCAGGCACGCAAAATCCCTTTGGTTTTAATTTTTTATTAAGATGTGTTTGCTGTACATACTGATCACATTCATCATGGACAATTTTTATATGTATATAACACATCTTAATTTGTTTTTTTGGTCCCATTTCCCTCCCGTTCTTCCCCTTCCCATTTGCTAAAGCTCTATCTCCATTTTTTTCTTCTATCCTTTGTCTTTAAATTCCTTCCTTCCGCTCCCCCATCTCTGCTTCTCCTTCCCTTTGAAAATGTTCTTCCCGGGGCTGGGGATTTAGCTCAGCGGCATAAGCACCTGCCTTGCAAGCAGGCAGTCGTGAGTTCAATCCCTGGTACCGATAAAAACGAGAAAGACCAAAAAAAAAAAAAAAAAGAAAATGTTCTTCCTACTTTCTATTACAGTGGTACCTGGATTCATGAATTTAATTCTTTAGATTCAGTGTTCACCTTATGGGGAAATTTGATTGATTGAGTTCTTTTATCTATCATCAAAATGTATCTATCCTAGGCTGAAGATGTAGCTCAGAGGCACAAGCACCTGCCTGGCAAACACAAGGTTGGGAGTTGGACCAAAAAAAATATCCTGACCAAGAAAAAAAGTGTTTATTAATTTTGTTCCATATTTATATTTTGAATTTTTCACACCAAGCAATGTGATATTTAAATTCATATCAGTTTTATTTTACTTAAAGTCTATGGTGTCAGAGTGTGTCCATTTACCTCAAAATGCCTCAAGTTTATCCTTTATGTTTTCAAGGTTTTTTTTGTTTGTTGGTTTTTTGAAACAGAGTGCTGTGTAGCTATGTAATGCAGACTGGCCTCAAACTCACAGTGTATCCCAGGCTGGCCTCGATCTTGCAGTAGTCCTCCTGTCTCAGTTTCCTGAGTGCTGGAATTAAGGTGCATGCCACCATGCCTGGCTATCTTTTTTACAGTAGAGTAGTACACAACTCTTTTTGGCTTTTTGAGACACAGTCTCACTATGTAATTTAGGCTGGCCTTGAGCTCCTTTTGTAGCCCAGGCTAGTCTTGAACTCTCAGCAATCCTACCATATGCCTGCCTCCACCACATACTTTTTTTTTTCTCTTTTTGAGACAGGGTCTTGCTATGCAGTTAAGGCTGACATTGGGCTCACTTTGTAGCCCAGGCTGATCTTGAACTTGAAACAATCTGCTTGCCTCAGCCTCCCAACTACTGGGATTTATAGGAGTGTGCCACCATGCCTGGCATCCTCCACATTTTTTTATCCATTCAGTTGTTGATGACCATGTGGGCTGTTCCTAAGATTTAGGTATTATAAATTGTGTTGCTGTAAACATGGGTTTGCATGTGTCACCATGAGATGATGACTTTTTTCCAGCTAACTTTTTATTAGTGTCTTCTGTAAGGTCCATGATATTTAATCTCCTTTGTTATCCTTTTGAATAATTTAGCTATGTGACTTTTTCTTTCTTCCCTGTTAGTCCTCCGTGGATTGACTTTGGGAGAGGCAGGACTCTTGGGAGGCACTTTGTTGCTTGATCTTCTTGTATTTCTGTTGTTTTTTGTTTGTTTGTTTTGTGTTTAGGTATGTGGCTGCATTTAGTGGAAAGGTTTTATTGCTGCTACGGAGATTTCTTTAGTTAATCTGCTTTTTTTAGTGATATACCCAGAGTGTGGCTAACTATAGTCCTTTACTTCTGTCCCTAGATCCTGATCATGGTCACCTCTGTTAATTTGAGAGTAATACCATGTAATTGTCCCAGCACCCAGTTCTTGGGAATTTACTATACTATTATTAATGTTACAAAGGTAATGCCACACTATTGTTAATGTCATAAAAGTAGTCTACATATTGACATAGAGAGAAATCCTATTAATACCAATAATTTTGTGACCTTGACAATATCAAGAGAATTAGCAACAGCAATGTACTCTAAGACAAACTGGATATTGACATACCATAAGAACTAATAATGTACCACCCTTAACCTTAGAAAAGAAACCTATGATTAAATTGTAAAACCCCAAGAAAAACCAAATATTGCATATAGCAAATGCCTACTAAGTGCATTTAACTATACCTCTACAAATAACAGAAAGGAATTCAGTGTTAGCAACCTACAAACAACTATCTAAAGAAAAATAAAGCTTTTTTGAAATCGATTTTTTATTATCATTTAAAGACAAAACAAAATAGAAAACGGTCAAAAAATAGTACATACTTTCAAAGAAAAGAAATAAACAGTAGTAAATCACTAGTTGATATACACATATTGTCCCCCCACAAATAGTTGTTCAAGATACAAAAGTGGAACACATAAATGGGAATTCAGCCAGGGAGACTGCAAACAGTTCTGTTCAACTATCCAACAAAAACTAAGTAATACAGCTATCAATCCTCTACACTTAGACATGTATGCATTTATCCGTATCTTCATTTATGTTGAGAACTAACAAAACTTATTAGATTAAAATCATTCGGAACAAATTTAATAATATTGCTGGATTTCACATCATAGCACTCCGGAATCAGCACTGGGTACT